TAGAATTAAAAATATTTAATTAATATAATTTAAATTATAAAAATAAAGATACTAAAAGTTGGAAATTAATATATATGATTAAATTATATTTATGAAACAAGTATAAAAAAAGTTACTCTAATTTATAATTTTATTATTAAATATTTATTTTTATTATTAATTTTTTTAAATTAATTGTTTTCAAAAAATATTTTTTAATTGGACCTGTCAAACTGTTGTGATCGATTTTTTTTTCTTTTACCAATTTTGGCCCGTTCTAGATTAGTTCCACCGATTTTTTTTTTACCAATTTATTGTAAAACAAATTTCTGACCAAACAAACTAGTTAAGGACCGATTTTTGGGTTGAAGGATTGGATCGATTCAATTTGATAATCATGATTTTATCATTATATATATATTTTTATATCGGTTTAGTCATTTACTCTTGACTTATTATCTTATCCTTTATTATAGTATTAATATCTTCTTTCTAATATGTTTTTAGAATTTTAGTTAATCAAATATTAGATAAATTTATTTTGGCTAAATTATACTTTTATTCTTTTATCTTATTTTTTTAAAGATTTATTTTGATTCTTTATTTATTAAAATGTTCATTTTGGCTTTTTATCTTTTATATTTGAATTAATTTGGTCCTTTTAAAAAAAATTGTGAAACTTGTAGTATTAAATTCACTTATATGGAAATTATGACATGCACTTGACGTTTGAATCCAAAAAGATTATAAACATAGTGAAAATCGTGTGAAAAATATATCTTATGAACAACTAGAAAATAATATAAAATTAGATTTTTAATTTTTATTTTTATTTTTATCATGTTTATAACACATTTAGTTTGAACTTCAATTACATTCAATACTTTTCATATAAATGAATCTTACAAGACAAGTTTTAAGTCTTAAATTAGTCAAAAAAGGATGTAAAGGGACTAAATTAACTTCAATTTAAGAGATAAAGGACCAATAAACATTTTAAAAGATAAAGGACTAAAAAAATAAAATAAGAGACCAAAAATATAAATTAGCCATTTATTTTTAATCTTTTAAATTTAAAATTAATTTTTTAGTCCTTTTAATTTTAAGAAATACTTATTTCAATTTCTCTGCTCAAATATCATTGGTGAATTTGTTAAATAAACTCTCATATTTATGAATTTGTCACACATAACTTATCTACTAGTGTGTCTGTTAGTGAAAACATTACATTAAACTCAAATGTTGCACAATTGACTCAACTTGTCCCTACCAATAATGTTACAGGTGGTTCTAAGGGACTGAAACGAGTTTTTTTTCTTCTTCTTAAATTACAAGGATTAAAAATATCAATTTTAAATTTGAGAGGTCAAAAGTAAACTTATCCCAAATTTGATAGATTAAACTATATTTAAGCTTGTTTCATTATTTTTTTTGGTGTAGTCATATGTTTATTAGGGGTTTTCTCGTTGCAACTATAACACATCTATTCATGATATCTAGTTTTAGAAAATAGGTAGTTTTTGAAAAGAAAAGCCTAATAACATTAGTATACTAACTGTGGAGAAAAGACACATATTAGAAAGGCGGTTGAATAATGTATATCAAAAACTCGCACTTTTGTGCAATGAAGAGAAAATAACTTTACAAATGAAGCACTAGAGAAGAGTCAGATGAAGCACTAGATATTTTTATATTGGTTTGTCTCAACCACCGAGACTATGTTCAATTTTCAATCCAACTAGATTGAATTTCACTAACTTTTACAAAGTTACAAGTATTATTTTACTAAGCCACTTCTAGCTCAAATCTAAGTAGTCTTTGACTTTCCTCTTCAAACAACTATCCAAATATTCTTTCAACAAATCACTCCAGGCTCAACACCAAGTATTCTTTCAACCAAGTTTCTTTAGGCTCAAACACTAAGTATTCTTTTGCACAAGCCTCTCTTGGCTCAACCACTAAGTATTCTTTTGCATAAGTCTCTCTAGGCTCAACCACTAAGTATTCTTTTGCACAAGCTTCTCTAGGCTCACCCCTTTCAACAAAGGTAATGAATGATTATAGATTGATTTGTCTCTTCTAAATGTGATGTAATCAAAAATGAAAGCATAAATAATCTACAAAGAAATATATACAATATTTATAAATGAAAAGCTTCTTTGTATAGTTTCAGCTTTGTATGTTTCGATATGCTTCTCAATTCAAACTTCTCAATGTTTATCACTTTTGTTTAGTATCTGCTGCTCTTTTTATGTACAAAACTTCTCTTTTCTCTGCTTTGTTATTTGAAGGCTTGATCATTTTATAGTATCTCCATAGAAGATGACCGTTACAACAACTTTGAGTTGAACTTTCAATTTTCTTCACGAGTTGCTTCAATTGCCTTCTTTGCTAATCCTAGAGATTATCGTTGATGCATTTAATACAAGCATTAAATGCCTTTTAGCAAAGCGTATATCATTTATTTGAACTTGTAGACTACTTATCATCATTTGAGAATGACAAAAGTAATGTTAGCACATAGTAGTTGAAGTTAGTGTATAGCAGTCTTTCGTAGAGCCTACCCAGAATTTTCCTTTTTGCTTCACACAAATATTTTTTCATTTTCATCTTTAACAAATTTTGAGAGTTTCAACGTTTCTTTCTTGTTTGACCTATTAAGAAATAATACATTTAATGAAATTAAATGTTAGTCTCATTTGGAAGTATTCATTTAATGTATAGAGACAGACTGTATGCTTTGTCTAGTTTCTTTCATCTTATAGATGATACATATTTTTCACATTTCGTCTTATATAACGTTTATTGCATTGTAGATATTTGACTTGGTTTTAAAAAAAATATTTTGTTTATTATCATTAAAACTTAAGGGATCCAAGATTGTCTTTTAACTTAACACAATATCATTTTTTGACTTAACACTAACACACAATACATCAAATTATCATCATGATTTCCACACTTGACAATGCCATTATGGCATATCATAGTTTCAAGCAAAGAGAAATACATTGTAGGCTAATATAGTACATCTATGGATATGCCTACTTATTTAAGGATACTAGCATGATTGATTTAAGTAATCTATTTGGCAAACCAAAGAAGGTGGCCCTCAGGGAACATGTGACACACTGGAGTAGTTCCAGGCTTGATTTTAAGCATCTGGAAAAAAATATGCTTTGGATTCCATTCTGATGTGTCTTTGTGGCACACAGCTACAGCTTTAACTCTAGTACCATCTTCTCCTTCCAAAGGCATAAAATGTGCAGTAGTATTTAGTACCTCGTGACAAAAAAAGACAACATAAGGGTAATTCATAGGATGACAAACAATGATCTTATCTTCTGCTAACTTCTTCACTCCATTTTTCACTAAGAATTTTGTGGACATTGTTTCCTTTTCCACCTCTGTAGAAACAACATGGATGTTCTTCCCAAGCTTAGAAGTGACGAAATCCACCATGGATTCTAATGAAGTTGCACAATGTTTTTCTTCTCCAATCATTGCAGGTGCTTGACACCGACTAGTTGCTTTCTTCACAATCTCAACATTCTTAGGCTTTGGCTTCACAAAAAGAATCTTCGATATTTCTTTTGTCTTTTCTGGAGAGAATGGTATACGTTCTGCAATTTGGCGAGCCAACAATGGAGTTGTATAAGTTCTTTTATAGAAGTGTCCATCTAATTTCATGCCAGGCTTCAATCCTTCCTCAAAGAAAACTAGATCAGGTTTTAGGTTGTCATGGTGATGATGATTAGCAACAAGGTTTACCTTTGGAAGAAGAGCATATAAAGGGAATTCATCTTGTGATTGAATCTTTTCAGCACCATACAACGGGAATTCATCTTGTGAACGAATCTTTTCAGCACTATACAAAGGGAATTCATCTTGTGATCGAATCTTTTTAGCACCATACAAAGGAAATTCATCTTGTGATCGAATCTTTTCAGCACCATACAAAGAGAATTCATCTTGTGATCGAATCTTTTCAGCACTATACAAAGGGAATTCATCTTGTGATCGAATCTTTTCAGCACCATACAAAGGGAATTGATCTTGTGATTGAATCTTTTCAGCACTATACAAAGGGAATTCATCTTGTGATCGAATCTTTTCAACTCCATACAAAGGGAATTCATCTTGTGATTGAATCTTTTCAGCACCATACAAAGGGAATTCATCTTGTGATCGAATCTTTTTAGCACCATACAATGGAAATTCATCTTGTGATTGAATCTTTTTAGCACCATAGAAAGGTAATTCATCTTGTGATCGAATCCTTTTAGCACCATAGAAAAAGAATTGATCTTGTGATTGAATCTTTTCAGCACCATAAAAAGGGAATTCATCTTGCGATCGAATCTTTTTAGCACCATATAAAGGGAATTCATCTTGAGATCGAATCTTTTTAACTCCATACAAAGGGATTTCATCTTGTGATTGAATTTTTTCTGCATAATAAAAATTAATCTTGTGATTGAACCTTTTTAGAACCTATAAAGGAAATTTATTTTTTGATTAAGCCTTCTTAATAAACATGAACATAAAAAGAAACTAATATTGTATTGAGCTATTAAACATAATAAACATAGAAAAGTGGAATCTCATATAGAGCCTCCTTTAACACCCATGAACATTTGAGCATAAAAAGAAAATCGGTATTATATACAAGGTTTTTTTTTAAAGAGAGTTAGATCTTTAAAACCTAACACCATGAAAATTTAAAACAAATAAATAATCAAGATTTTAATGTGACATGAAAGATATGATGTATTTAACTAGGAAATTGCTTGTTAGTAAGAATTCATGTCGTACAAATATTAAAATATTGTTAGTTACCTGTGATTTTAGTTAACAATCTAATTTCTTTTATCTTTTAATTTACACTTGAGCCAATTATATTTAAACATGTGTTTCGTAAAATATTTTGCACCAAAACCTCTCGTACCATTATTGTGTATTTGGACATCCATTAGCGTCCATTTTTAACGTGATTTTTCACATCCAATTTGACGTTACGTACAAGTTGTAGCTTTTGCATTCTACATTAATTTGATGTGAATTTTCATGTTTCGGATGCACTTCCAAACGAAGACTTAATATTGCTCATTTAATTATGGTTGAAGGCATATTATGAAGAAAAAGAACTTTAACATCGGCTATACTATGGGGAAAAAATCTTGTTTTTGACAAAAAAGAAAAATTAATTAATTATTCACTTAAAAAAATATTCTAACATTTAAAGGATTCATTTGAAAAGGCTTAAGAAAGCTTTAATCATAATATAAATAAAACAGATTTAGAATTTCTAAAATAAAAAAGATGGGCTTTTAAAAGTTAAACGTAATTATACTTACTAGTTATAAAATCCATGATTAAAAATTATTGATAAAATTATATATATATATATAT